TGCCAGGGTTGAGCTGCAGACTCCTCCGCCCCTGGGACCGCTCGCTGCAATCCCCCGGGGGACCCTGTTACTGCAAAAGTCCTTCTCTCTGGTCACACACTCCCAGCGGTTAACTGCCCCCTGAAACCGTCTCTCTCTGAATCTTCAGCACACCTGGTCCCCGTCACTCCCCTTCGTTTTACTGTTCCCCAGTCACTTACTGCAGGAAGTGCTGTTCACGGGGTGCAGTACATCCCACCTCTGCCACCAGTTGTCACGGAGTGTGGGGGAGTCCAGGCCCTGCACCCCTCTTCCTGGGATTCACTGAGACTCTCAGCCAGCCAGTAAAACAGGTTTATTGGACAACAGGAACGCAGTCCAAAACAGAGCTTGTGGGTACACCCAGGACCCCCTCAGTCAAGTCCTTCTGGGGGAGCAGGGAGCTTAGACCCCAGCCCTGGGGTTCCCTGTGTTCCTCCACCCAGCCCCAAACTCAAACTAACCCCCCCTCTCCCCCCACCCCAGCAGGCTCTCTCCTGCAGCCTGTCTTCACATTCCTGGCAGAGGTGTTACCTCCCCCTCCTGGCTCAGGTGACAGGCTCTCAGGTCTCCCATCCGCAGGGCACTTCCCAGGTCAACACTCTCCCCTCCCTGCTGAGTCACATCATCACACAGGGCTGGACCATAGCCTGGTCCCCTCCTCAGTCTGACCATAATCCCCCCCCAATACACATGGTGTGGGGAGTGGCAGGCACCCCTCTTCCCGCACAGGCTGCTGCCATGCAGGCAAACCCATGGTGCAGCCACAGGCCAGGTGCTGGGACCCAGTTAGCATGCAGCTTGGCCAGGCAGCGTCCACCAGATGCAGATCCCAAGCTTCCCCCCTCGCCCCCCCCACCCATGCAGGGAATTTCCGGGCACCTCGTGGGGCAAGCGGGAGGCTGTGTCTGGTGGCCCCCGTCCCGTAGCGAGCTGCAGCATTGTGTGCTGGGATCTGGAGTCCCTGCAGGTGACACGTGGGCCTGTGACGAAGCGGGACTGTTCTTAACGTTTCCTCTGAATAGTGTGGGGGTGCCTCAGTTTCCCCTATGCAGTTCTTAAGTATCTAGGGGGTGGGGTAAGGGTGTATGATCATTGCAGAGCCCAAGAGGGCAGGTGTGTGCAGGGGTCTGAACACAGAGAATGGCTGACACCCTGTTTCCTGGCACCTGATGGCCTGGCCCTTCCCCCCTGCAAGGTGAGAGCTAAAGGGTTGGAGAACAAAGGAATCAGGAGCCCTCCTGGCCCGGGAAAGGGACAAAGCCCAGAGGAGGGGGGGCTGGAGGGAGTTTCAGTTTGGGGTTGGCCAGGACATGGAGTGAAGGGCAGACGGGGTTGTCTGGCTCACTGCCCCCCCCAAGATGGGCCCAGCTGAGGGGTCCTGTTCTCTGCACCTACAAGCTCTGTTTTAGACCATGTTCCTGTCATCTAATAAACCTCTGTTTTACTGGCTGGCTGAGAGTCCCGTCTGACTGCGGAGTTGGGGGGCAGGACCCTCTGGCTTCCCCAGGAGCCCTGCCTGGACGGACTGGCTGTGGGAAGCGCACGGAGGGGCAGAGGATGCTGAATGCTCCAAGGTCAGACCCAGGAAGGTGGAAGCTGTGTGAGCTGTGTGTCCTGAAGACAGGCTGCTCACAGAAAGGAGACTTCCCCAGAGTCCTGACTGGCTTCATAGAGAACAGTTTCAGAGCATCGCCCAGGGACTCCGTGACAGGGCCCCATTATAGAATCATAGAATATCAGGGTTGGAAGGGACCCCAGAAGGTCATCTAGTCCAACCCCCTGCTCGAAGCAGGACCAATTCCCAGTTAAATCATCCCAGCCAGGGCTTTGTCAAGCCTGACCTTAAAAACCTCTAAGGAAGGAGATTCTACCACCTCCCTAGGTAACGCATTCCAGTGTTTCACCACCCTCTTAGTGAAAAAGTTTTTCCTAATATCCAATCTAAACCTCCCCCACTGCAACTTGAGACCATTACTCCTCGTTCTGTCATCTGCTACCATTGAGAACAGTCTAGAGCCATCCTCTTTGGAACCCCCTTTCAGGTAGTTGAAAGCAGCTATCAAATCCCCCCTCACTCTTCTCTTCTGCAGGCTAAACAATCCCAGCTCCCTCAGCCTCTCCTCATAAGTCATGTGTTCCAGACCCCTAATCATTTTTGTTGCCCTTCGCTGGACTCTCTCCAATTTATCCACATCCTTCTTGTAGTGTGGGGCCCAAAATTGGACACAGTACTCCAGATGAGGCCTCACCAATGTCGAATAGAGGGGAACGGTCACGTCCCTCTATCTGCTGGCAATGCCCTACTTATACATCCGAAAATGCCATTGGCCTTCTTGGCAACAAGGGCACACTGCTGACTCATATCCAGCTTCTCGTCCACTGTCACCCCTAGGTCCTTTTCCGCAGAACTGCTGCCTAGCCATTCGGTCCCTAGTCTGTAGCGGTGCATTGGATTCTTCCATCCTAAGTGCAGGACCCTGCACTTATCCTTATTGAACCTCATCAGATTTCTTTTGGCCCAATCCTCCAATTTGTCTAGGTCCTTCTGTATCCTATCCCTCCCCTCCAGCGTATCTACCACTCCTCCCAGTTTAGTATCATCCGCAAATTTGCTGAGAGTGCAATCCACACCATCCTCCAGATCATTTATGAAGATATTGAACAAAACCGGCCCCAGGACCGACCCTTGGGGCACTCCACTTGATACCGGCTGCCAACTAGACATGGAGCCATTGATCACTACCCGTTGAGCCCGACAATCTAGCCAGCTTTCTACCCACCTTATAGTGCATTCATCCAGCCCATACTTCCTTAACTTGCTGACAAGAATACTGTGGGAGACCGTGTCAAAAGCTTTGCTAAAGTCAAGAAACAATACATCCACTGCTTTCCCTTCATCCACAGAACCAGTAATCTCATCATAAAAGGCGATTAGATTAGTCAGGCATGACCTTCCCTTGGTGAATCCATGCTGGCTGTTCCTGATCACTTTCCTCTCATGCAAGTGCTTCAGGATTGATTCTTTGAGGACTTGCTCCATGATTTTTCCAGGGACTGAGGTGAGGCTGACTGGCCTGTAGTTCCCAGGATCCTCCTTCTTCCCTTTTTTAAAGATTGGCACTACATTAGCCTTTTTCCAGTCATCCGGGACTTCCCCGGTTCGCCACGAGTTTTCAAAGATAATGGCCAATGGCTCTGCAATCACAGCCGCCAGTTCCTTCAGCACTCTCGGATGCAACTCGTCCGGCCCCATGGACTTGTGCACGTCCAGCTTTTCTAAATAGTCCCTAACCACCTCTATCTCCACAGAGGGCTGGCCATCTCTTCCCCATTTTGTGATTCCCCATTAGTCTGGCTGGCTGGGGTGAGCCCTCTGAGTTGGGTCCCCCTGGGTGTGTCCGAGCCTGGCTGGGCCCCACGCCCCATTTCCTCTGCAGAGCCAGGCCGCAGCTTCCAGCCGGGAATCTAGCTCTGCAGAGAGCAACATTTCAGGGCTAATCAGGTTCCTGGCTGGGCTGGGCTCTGGTGCAGGTTAGGCCTGGGAGCTGGGAGCGGTGCAGACATGCCCAGGTTGGGAGCAGGGATGGTGGGGAGGGAAGGCCAGCTGGGGCGGGGGAGAGCCAGCCTCCGTGAGGTCTCCTGGCACGGGACGTGGGGCGACTGGCAGATGCCCCGTCTGAGCTCCCCCAGGGCAGGGCTTGAGGCCCAGTGCGCTCTGAGCTCTCCTGGGGTGGGGGTCAGGGCCCAGCGCGCTCTGAGCTGTCCTGGCTTGGGGGGTAGAGTCAGGGCCTGGTGCGCTCTGAGCTCTAGGGCCAGGACCCAGTGCACATGGGACGTGCTTGTATGAGCCACCAGGCTGCATGGGCCCCTCCGGCAGCCTCCCTCATGGCTGGCAGACTGGAGCAGCCGAGTTCCCTTGTGGCTCGGGCAGTGGGGTGGGACCCAGGAGCTCTGGGGTCTAGTCCTGGCACTGCCCCCGTGTTGTCTGTGCCGTGTGCCCACAGGGAAGGGCCAGCTTGGCACAGTGCCCATGGTGGGCACTGCCCAGTTCCGCAGCTGGCACCTCCGCAGCTCCGTGGGCTGCATGACAGGGTTGGGCGTGGCCGCCAGTCCCATGTGCCCTCGGGTCCTGTGTCCATCACAGGCCCCTGCCGTGATGCCACTCCCCAGCCAGCTCCCTGCGGCGTCACCCGGGGCCGTGGGCTGGCACAGGGCGGCCGACGCTGAGTAGTGCCCAGTGCCTGGCTGGGAGGAGGCATGGAAAGGCCCTTCACTGGGGAGCTCAGCACTGGGGGCTCCGGTTGTAGGGCAGGGCTTGAGCTGTCCCTGGGCCACTCAGCCTGAGAGGGATGGGCTGTGGAGGGCCAGGAGTCCCGCCGAGCCAGCCGGGTGAGCCTGGGGGTAGTGAAAAAATACAGCAGCTGGCCCCGTGGGGGGAATGCGAGTGGCTGCATGCTGCGGCCTGCAGAGAAGGAGCCGTGGGGTGGGAGGGAGTGTGGCCTCCTGAGTATGTGGGGCAAGAGCTGGAGGAGGGCTGGGACCCCCTGTGGGGTTGAGCACGGAGCCCCTGGGCAGGGGCAGGCCTGCATCCTAAGGGAGCCCTGTGTGAGCGGTGTCTGGCCCCCCCAGCCCCAGCACCGTGGCTCTGATGTTGGCCAGCGCTGGGCAATTCCTTGGCAGCCGGGACCCCCGTAATCCGCGGGCGGGGGGGTCCTGCCCTCTGACAGTATAGCTCCAGGCACCTGTCGGGCCCTATCTAGGTGATAACGCTTGGTGAGCCACGGGCACTAGGGTGGGGGCATCTCCCCTGTCCTACGCCCTGCTGCCCCGGCCGGGGAAGAAGCACCTGGCCTGGGGCATCTCCTGGCATCGGGCATGGCTGCTGGGCAGCCCTGGGCTAGGGTCTGTACTCCCCCCCACCCCCGGAGGGTTAATGCGGCGGGGGGAGGGCTGAGGGGCTCACGGCTCTGTACCCCCAGGACCTGACCTCGGCGCTGACTCGCAAGATCACCCTGAAGACGCCGCTCATCTCGTCGCCCATGGACACCGTCACCGAGTCAGACATGGCGATCGCCATGGCGGTAAGAGTGGGGCGGGAGGGGTCCAGCCTGTCCGGGGCAGGGGCTCCGCAGCTCTGATGTTCCCGTCCCCAAGCCTCTCGCTGGAGACCGGCCCCAGCCCTGAGCGTCGGGCAGCTGGGCTGGGCGCCTCGTGAGCACCTTTCCCCTGCGCTGCCCCGGAGAGGCCGTGCCCTGCCCCCACCACAGGGCACCCCGTTGCTCCATGGGGCCGGCAGAGGCTGACCCGTTCTCTCCCCGCAGCTGATGGGCGGCATCGGGATCATCCACCACAACTGCACCCCGGAGTTCCAGGCCAACGAGGTGCGCAAGGTCAAGGCAAGTACCAGCCGTGCCCTGGGGCAACCCTGGCACCAGGAGACTAGCTCTGGTCAGATGTGGGGGGGCCGGTCTGCTCTGCCCCTCCTCACCCATCACCTCGCAGGACCCTGGTCCTTTGCGGCCCCACCCCACCCCAGTGTCCGCGCCATGGTGCCCCCATGGAGCCGTTTCCGGCAGACGCCTGTGCCGGGCCTTGGCATACGGCTCTGACGGGCTTCCCAGCCCCATGTAGGTTAACACCCTGAGAGGGGATCTGAGCCGCGTGGACACACCCGGTGCTGCCCCCTTGGGCCTGCCAGGCGGTTCCCAGAGCCCCAGGGCATCCGGGTGGCTGTGGAGGGAGAGGTTTGCCCCGTCTGCTCGGTGTCCTGGTACCAGCAGGGCTGGGGATGGAGCTGCGAGCTCCTGGCACCCCGCTGCCGGTGTGCACGCCGTGGGGAGCGCCAGGCTGAGTCAGGGGTGAGGTGTCACCCCCCAGGGATCGTGGGGCAGTACCAAGGCCAGTGCGCATGTGCACACACACACCCCTTGGGGAGCGCGGGGGCAGGGTGGGGCGCTGTGGGGTCGGGTCTCTGGAGAGCAGGGCTGTGGGGGTCAGTGGGGAGATTGGTGTCCCCAGGGAGCGTGGGGGAGGGTGGGGCACTGTGGGGAGAGTGGCGCCCCCTGGGGAGTGTGGGGCAGAGTGGGGGTCAGTGGGGAGAGGGATGTCCCCCGGGGAGTGTGGAGCAGAGTGGGTCGCTGTGGGGGTCAGTGGGGAGTGTGGGGGCAGGGTGGGGCTCTGTGGGGTCGGGTCTCTGGAGAGCAGGGCTGTGGGGGTCAGTTTGGAGATTGGTGTCCCTGGGGAGGGTGGCACACTGTGGGGAGAGTGGCACCCCCCGGGGAGTGTGGGGCAGAGTGGGGCGCTGTGGGGGTCAGTGGGGAGTGTGGGGCGCCCCCCGGGCAGTGTGGGGCATAGTGGGGCGCTGTGGGGGTCAGTGGGGAGTGTGGGGCAGAGTGGGGCGCTGTGGGGGTCAGTGGGGAGTGTGGGGCACCCCCCGGGGAGTGTGGGGCAGAGTGGGGGCGCTGTGGGGGTCAGTGGGGAGTGTGGGGCGCCCCCCCCGGGCAGTGTGGGGGCAGAGTGGGGGCGCTGTGGGGGTCAGTGGGGGAGTGTGGGGCGCCCCCGGGCAGTGTGGGGGTCAGTGGGGAGTGTGGGGGTCAGTGGGGAGTGTGGGGCAGAGTGGGGCACTGTGGGGGTCAGTGGGGAGTGTGGGGCACCCCCCGGGGAGTGTGGGGCAGAGTGGGGCGCTGTGGGGGTCAGTGGGGAGTGTGGGGCGCCCCCCGGGCAGTGTGGGGCAGAGTGGGGGCGCTGTGGGGGTCAGTGGGGAGTGTGGGGCGCCCCCCGGGCAGTGTGGGGCAGAGTGGGGCGCTGTGGGGGTCAGTGGGGAGTGTGGGGCGCCCCCCGGGCAGTGTGGGGCACAGTGGGGCGCTGTGGGGGTCAGTGGGGAGTGTGGGGCGCCCCCCGGGCAGTGTGGGGCAGAGTGGGGCGCTGTGGGGGTCAGTGGGGAGTGTGGGGCGCCCCCGGGCAGTGTGGGGCATAGTGGGGCGCTGTGGGGGTCAGTGGGGAGTGTGGGGCAGAGTGGGGCACAGTGGGGGCAGTGGGGGTCGGCGGGGAGTGTGGGGCGCCCCCCGGGCAGTGTGGGGCACAGTGGGGCGCTGTGGGGGTCAGTGGGGAGTGTGGGGCGCCCCCCGGGCAGTGTGGGGCAGAGTGGGGCGCTGTGGGGGTCAGTGGGGAGTGTGGGGCGCCCCCCGGGCAGTGTGGGGCACAGTGGGGCGCTGTGGGGGTCAGTGGGGAGTGTGGGGCGCCCCCGGGCAGTGTGGGGCACAGTGGGGGCGCTGTGGGGGTCAGTGGGGAGTGTGGGGCGCCCCCCGGGCAGTGTGGGGCAGAGTGGGGCGCTGTGGGGGTCGGTGGGGAGTGTGGGGCGCCCCCCGGGCAGTGTGGGGCAGAGTGGGGCGCTGTGGGGGTCGGTGGGGAGTGTGGGGCGCCCCCCGGGCAGTGTGGGGCAGAGTGGGGGCGCTGTGGGGGGTCGGTGGGGAGTGTGGGGCGCCCCCCGGGCAGTGTGGGGCAGAGTGGGGCGCTGTGGGGGGTCGGTGGGGAGTGTGGGGCGCCCCCCGGGCAGTGTGGGGCAGAGTGGGGGCGCTGTGGGGGTCGGTGGGGAGTGTGGGGCGCCCCCGGGCAGTGTGGGGCAGAGTGGGGGCGCTGTGGGGGTCGGTGGGGAGTGTGGGGCGCCCCCGGGCAGTGTGGGGCAGAGTGGGGCGCTGTGGGGGTCGGTGGGGAGTGTGGGGCGCCCCCCGGGCAGTGTGGGGCAGAGTGGGGGCGCTGTGGGGGTCGGTGGGGAGTGTGGGGCGCCCCCGGGCAGTGTGGGGCAGAGTGGGGGCGCTGTGGGGGTCGGTGGGGAGTGTGGGGCGCCCCCGGGCAGAGTGGGGCAGAGTGGGGCGCTGTGGGGGTCGGTGGGGAGTGTGGGGCGCCCCCCGGGCAGAGTGGGGCGCTGTGGGGGTCGGTGGGGAGTGTGGGGCGCCCCCCGGGCAGAGTGGGGCGCTGTGGGGGTCGGTGGGGAGTGTGGGGCGCCCCCCGGGCAGAGTGGGGCGCTGTGGGGGTCAGTGGGGAGTGTGGGGCGCCCCCCGGGCAGTGTGGGGCAGAGTGGGGCGCTGTGGGGGTCAGTGGGGAGTGTGGGGCGCCCCCCGGGCAGAGTGGGGCGCTGTGGGGGTCAGTGGGGAGTGTGGGGCGCCCCCCGGGCAGTGTGGGGCACAGTGGGGCGCTGTGGGGAGTGTGGGGCAGGCTGGGGCGGTCGCGGGGTCGGCGGGCGCTTGCGGGAGGCTAACCCCGCTCTGTGCTGCAGGCGCCCGGCTGGTGACTCCCCCTCTCCCTCCCCTGCAGAAATTTGAGCAGGGCTTCATCACGGACCCGGTGGTGATGAGCCCCACACACAACGTGGGGGACGTCTTCGAGGCCAAGCTGCGCCACGGCTTCTCGGGCATCCCCGTCACCGAGACGGGCAAGATGGGCAGCAAGCTGGTGGGCATTGTCACCTCGCGGGACATCGACTTCCTCACCGAGAAGGACTACGCCACCTACCTCAGCGAGGTACCGCCCGCCCGCCCGCGGGACTCCTGGGGACCTGCCCCTGACACAGCCGCCCCTGCGGTCCGGGCTGCGTCTCGCGCCAGCCTGCCCCCCCATCCGGGGGGCGGGGGTGGAATTCGCTGCCCTCTGGTAGCTCATCCCCCTGGACATGGCGGCTGCGATGCCAGGCACCCAGTTCTGTGGGTTGGGAGGCGCACAGGCCCGGGTGCGTGCAAGGGGGCAGGGGCAATGGGGCAGGGCTTTTGGGGAGAGGGGGCAGGGCACCAGGGTGGAGGGGAGGGGCGCGGCACTGGGACCCATCTGGTTGCGCTCCCATGTGCGGTTTGGCCCCGCAGGTGATGACGAAGCGCAATGACCTGGTGGTGGCGCCCGCCGGGGTCACCCTGAAGGAGGCCAACGAGATCCTGCAGCGCAGCAAGAAAGGTACCAGGGACCTCACGCTGCCCGCCCTGCCCTGGGCACGGGAGAGAACTGGCCCGCAGCCCCTGCTAGCCCGGCCCTGGGCTCCCCACACACCCCGCTGCACCGGTGCCCCTCACTCCCCACCCGCAGCCCCTGCTAGCCCCTCCCTGGGCTCCCCGCACGCCCCGCTGCACCGGTGCCCCTCACTCCCCACCCGCAGCCCCTGCTAGCCCCTCCCTGGGCTCCCCGCACGCCCCGCCGCACCGGTGGAAAAATTGGAGAGAGTCCAGCGAAGGGCAACAAAAATGATTAGGGGTCTGGAACACATGACTTATGAGGAGAGGCTGAGGGAGCTGGGATTGTTTAGTCTGCGGAAGAGAAGAATGAGGGGGGATTTGATAGCTGCTTTCAACTACCTGAAAGGGGGTTCCAAAGAGGATGGCTCTAGACTGTTCTCAATGGTAGCAGATGACAGAACGAGGAGTAATGGTCTCAAGTTGCAGTGGGGGAGGTTTCGGTTGGATATTAGGAAAAACTTTTTCACTAGGAGGGTGGTGAAACACTGGAATGCGTTACCTAGGGAGGTGGTGGAATCTCCTTCCTTAGAAGTTTTTAAGATCAGGCTTGACAAAGCCCTGGCTGGGATGATTTAATTGGGGATTGGTCCTGCTTTGAGCAGGGGGTTGGACTAGATGACCTCCTGAGGTCCCTTCCAACCCTGATATTCTGATTCTATGATCCCCCCCATGCTCTTTAAGCGGGGCTCCCTCCCCTTGCTGCCTCTGCGGATAGTTCTCCGGGGCTTGGAGTAGAGGGAGCCGCGCTGGTGGTGCCCAGAGCCTGGGCGCTGGAGTGGACTGGGGCGTGTGGGGCAGCCCGTGCTCGTAGGGGGCCAGCCCCCCGTGCTCAGAGCAGCTTGGTGGGCTGGGCGGTGTGGCCGAGGTTACAGCATCACTAGCAGCTGATGTTCGAGGAGGGGCTGCCGGGGCGGGGTGCTGAGCCGGGCTGCGGGCACTGGCTTGTCTCTGGGCAGGTCTCGGGTGGGCTGAGCTGGGGAACGGGGCTGGGGGCAGCGGGGCCATTGGCCACGACCCCATGGTGGAGCCAGCCCCACTGCGCATGCGGCTGGGGAGCTCTGCCGGGTGCCCCCCTCACCGCTGTGCCCTCCCCGCACCAGGGAAGCTACCCATCGTGAACGACAGCGACGAGCTGGTGGCTATCATCGCCCGCACGGACCTGAAGAAGAACCGCGACTACCCGCTGGCCTCCAAGGACTCGCGCAAGCAGCTGCTGTGTGGGGCGGCCATCGGCACCCGCGAGGACGACAAGTACCGGCTCGACCTCCTCACGCAGGCCGGCGTCGACGTGGTGGTGCTGGTGGGTACCGGGCTCGGGGGGCTCCCTGCTGCTCCCGGCCCAGCAGCCTCCCTGACCCCCGGCACAGCAAGGGTTAAGGGCCTGAGATCCTTGCACAGCCACGCCAGATGCTTGGCACCTCCCCACCGGGGTCAGATGACCCCCGCCACAGATTGGATCATCTGGGGGGCCTGGTGTCTGCCACCCTGGGTCAGATGCTCCCTCCCGTCAGACCTCTTAAACTCCCTGTCTGCCGCCCCAGCCAGAGCAGGGCGGCTGGTCCTTGGAGCCGGGTGCGTGTGGGGATCTCGAACGTGGGGCCAGCCTCCAAGCCTGAGGAGCTGGATTGGTCCCGCACCATTGCGGGCACATGCTCACCGGGATACCAGTGTCGCGGAGTCCCCGGGCGATGCTCTGGAACTGCTCCCCATGAAGCCAGTCGGGACTCTGGGGCAGTCTCCTTTCTGTGAGCAGCCTGTCTGCAGGACACACAGCTCACCCGGCTTCCCCCTTCCTGGGTCTGACCTCGGAGCATTCAGCCTCCTCTGCCCCTCTGTGCACTTCCCATAGCGAGTCTGCCCATGCGGGGCTCCTGGGGAAGCCAGAGGGTCCTGCCCCCCAACTCCGCAGTCAGACGGGACTCTCAGCCAGCCAGTAAAACAGAAGGTTTATTAGACGACAGGAACATGGTCTAACACAGAGCTTGTAGGTGCAGAGAACAGGACCCCTCAGCTGGGTCCATTTTGGGGGGGCAGTGAGCCAGACAACCCCGTCTGCACTTCACTCCATGTCCCAGCCAGCCCCAAACTGAAACTCCCTCCAGCCCCTCCTCCCCTGGGCTTTGTCCCTTTCCCGGGCCAGGAGGGCACCTGATCCCTTTGTTCTCCAACCCTTTAGCTCTCACCTTGCAGGGGGGAAGGGCCCAGGCCATCAGTTGCCAGGAAACAGGGTGTCGGCCATTTATGTGCCCTGGCCCTTTGCTCTGCAACAATTACACCCCCTTACCCAGTTTCAGAGTAGCAGCCGTGTTAGTCTGCATCCGCAAAAAGAAAAGGAAAAGGAGTACTTGTGGCACCTTAGAGAGTAACCAAGCTCACTTCATCGGATGCATACTGTGGAAAGTACAGAAGATGTTTTTATACACACAAACCATGAAAAAATGGATGATTATCACTACAAAAGGTTCTCTCCCCCCACAAATACAGACTAACACGGCTGTTACTCTGAAACCTGTCAAAAAGAACAGGAGGACTTGTGGCACCTTAGAGACTAACCAATTTATTTGAGCATGAGCTTTCGTGATTCCTAGGGCCCTTCTAGCCGCCAGGGGCCCCTAGGCCCATCTGCAGTCAGCAGTGGGGGTCAGTGTGGGGGTGGGGCCGGGGCCGGAGCTGTCTCTCCTGCTCCCTTCCTGCTCTGAGTGTGGTCTCGTCCCCCCCACAGGACTCCTCCCAGGGCAATTCCGTGTATCAGATCAGCATGATCCATTACATCAAGCAGAAATACCCCGAGCTGCAAGTGATCGGTGGGAATGGTGAGTCTCTGGGGGCCCCAGCCCTGGCCGGCGGGTGCAGGGCGGGGCGCTCAGGGGCCGTGGCTCGGATGGGCACAGCACTGAACACCCGGGTGGTACCTCTCTGACCTTGCTCCAGCAAGGGCCGTATGGCGCTGCGTGTGGGGAACCACTGCCGGAACGCCCCACGCGGCACGTCTGGGCCCGGGCCTCTGCTCACTCCCCGGCACGGCTCCGGCGCCCCGCCCAGCACGTCTGGGCCCGGCCCTCTGCTCGCTCCCCGGCACGGCTCCAACGGCTGGGACTGCGCATGGGGCAGGGGAATACGTCCGACCACCCTCTCTCGGGACAAGGCTAGTCTGGGAGCAATAGGCTGTGTGGGACCCATCCCCAGCGGGCTGCACATGTACAAGTCCCACAGGTCGTTGGGGCTGATGAAAGCAGGGATCTTCCGCCCGCCCCTGCACCGAGGGCCCCCCTCAAGCTGAGGGAGCTCCTGCCCCGTTTGTTCTGGGCAGCCGAGTACCACGCTGCTGGTGGCAATTGCTGAGCCTAGGCGGAGCTGGAGCAAGTGCTCGCCGTGCTGGGACCGGAGCTGGTTCACTGAGACCGGGAGTCGTAGCAGACCCTGCCTGCCCAGACTGTTGGAGCAGCCTTGCCCGAGCCAGCAGAGCGTGGCCCGGGGCACTGCCCGCCAGCGCCCTCCTGCACCTGCTCTGCCCTGTCCATCCTCCCCGGCCCGAGAGGCCGTGGCAAGTCTCCCAGCCCAAGGCCCCAGTGGGTCCTGCTGCAGGGTGGGGAGAGGGGCTGGGATTCCCGGTCTGAGAGCGGGCCGGGCGGGGCCCTGGACTCTGCCCCGGGCCCGGTGACCAGGTATTTCATGGCTGCCTTTGCTTTCGTCTCCTGTTGGATCCACAGTGGTGACAGCGGCGCAGGCCAAGCACCTGACGGACGCGGGGGTGGATGGTCTGCGCGTGGGCATGGGCTGCGGCTCCATCTGCATCACGCAGGAAGGTAGGGGTGAGCTCCGGGCATCGCGGGCCCTCGCAGCCCCAGCGGGGTCAGCAGTGCCTGGCGGGGCAGGAAGGGCCCGGACCAGTGTCGCGCTGGGCAGAGGCGTAGCTGAGGCTGGGTGGGGGCTGCTCCGCCCCACCTCCCCTTCCCCCCCACACTGCTGGAGGCCTCCGGGCCCCTGCTCGGGCCAGGCTGGCGCTGCAGGGAACGGCTTCTCCTGTGCGCACGGCTCCTGGCCTTTGTCGGCGGGGCTGACGCCCGCGGCTGGCAGAGGAACCCAGCCCCGTGCGGTGCCTGGCGCGTCAGTGGCCCACCTGTCGCCCCCCACGCCTGCCCTGGTGCTGACGCTCCTGTCCCTGGCTGCAGTGATGGCGTGCGGCAGGCCCCAGGGCACGGCCGTGTACAAGGTGGCGGAGTACGCCCGCAGGTTCGGCGTGCCTGTGATCGCGGATGGCGGCATCCAGACGGTGGGGCATGTGGTGAAGGCGCTGTCTCTAGGAGCCTCTACGGGTGAGTGCGACTGTCGCCGTGGGGCCAGCCTGCCTGCCCCCTCCCTGTGCAGTCAGTGCCCCGGGTGGCACTAGGGGATGCTGTCCTGAGGGAATGGGGCAGGGGCTCAGCAGGGGGCGATCTCCCCTCCCGGGCGGTGCTGGCTGCGGCGTGCCACGGCTGGGTGCATGAAATACCACGTGCCTTGGGTTGTTGGATTCCACAGGCGAATTCCCTCCACGCTGGGGGTGCCGGCCCCCGAGTCTTCAGGCAGACGCCCAACACGTGGTGGCCCCTGCGCCCCAGACAGCCCCGTTGGGCCCTGGCGTGGCGATTGCTGCAGGCACGGGGACGGGGGGCTTGGGAGCTGAGCAGCCGGGCACCCGTTGTGCTCAGGGGGCTGCGGGGGCTGCAGTCGAGCCCAGGTGTGCTCGGGGGGGGGGCCCGCTCTCTGCTGTGGCACTAATGTCACCCATTCCCTGCCCCTCTCCCCGGCGCCCGGGCAGTGATGATGGGCTCCCTGCTGGCGGCCACCACGGAGGCCCCGGGCGAGTATTTCTTCTCCGACGGCGTGAGGCTGAAGAAATACCGGGGGATGGGCTCGCTCGACGCCATGGAGAAGAACAGCAGCAGCCAGAAGCGATACTTCAGGTATGGGGCAGGGGCAGGGGCAGGGCCCCTCTGTCCAGCCTGGGGTGGGGGCCGGGAACGCAGCCTGCCCGGCAGGTGCTGATACAGCTCGGGGTGGGGCCCGGGGGGGGGGCCCGGGGGCAGTAGGGCAGCTGGGGGGCGGGGGCGGGCAGGCTGGAGGCAGGATCCTGTTGGGGAGCACAGGCTGGCGCGGGGCCCCCCATAACAGCCTCCGTGTTCTTCCCTCCAGCGAAGGGGATAAGGTGAAGGTGGCGCAGGGCGTCTCCGGCTCCATCCAGGACAAGGGCTCCATCCAGAAGTTCGTCCCATACCTGATTGCGGGCATTCAGCACGGCTGCCAGGACATCGGGGCCAGGAGCCTCTCCATCCTCCGGTGAGGGGCCAGGCTGCGGTTCTCACTCAGCCCTAGGCAGGCTGTCCTGGGAGGGGCCTGCCTGGGGCCGCCCTGGGGCTGGGGCCTCTGAGAAAAATCAACCCCGCCTGGCCCCAGCAAGATCCTGGGCTGTCCCCTCCCAGGGAGGGGGAGACAGGTGGCATCTGAGGGGTGGGGAGCCAAGCTGGGGGAAGCAGCTGAGCTCCCCGCCCCAGTGCTTATCCCCCCAGACCGCGCTGAGGGCGTCTCACACGGACGGTGGCCACAGCGCCCGGGGGTGCCACGGGACGGGAGAGGCCAAGGGGCGGCTGACCAGGCCCTGGGACACGTGGGGGCTGGTCCGGGGCCCCATTAGCTGGGCAGTTACGTCACTGAGTCCCGGGGCTCTGGTAGCAGGGCCCTGGGTGGGGTTAGATCCCTGTGACGGGTCGCAGTTACTGCCTGGGGCCAGGACACCGTAGCAGGGCCAGCGCAGCTGGGCAGCCTTGTCGTGGCACCTGTGTGGGCTGGCCTGGGCCAGGTTGCCGTGGGGGGGGGATGGCGCAGCCTGGGCCAAGCCAGGTTGCCATGGGCGCCGGCATGGGGCCTGGCGGGTTGCTCTGGCAGACTCGCTCGTGTGCGCGCTCTGCCCTGTCCCCCGCGTGCCCCCTGGGCCGGTCGCAGGTGCCTCTGCCTCACTCCTAGCCGCGCTGTCTCTGCTTGCCAGTTCCATGATGTACTCGGGCGAGCTGAAGTTTGAGAAGAGAACCATGTCAGCCCAGATCGAAGGCGGCGTCCACGGCCTCCACTCGTAAGTGCCCTGCTGCTTCCCTGCCCCTGCCCCGGCTCTGGCTGCTGCTTGGCAGCCTGTGGTTACCCAGGATGTGGTGCACGGCCTGGGGGGCGTCCCTGCATTTCCTGACTGGCTGGGGGGCTGGGTGCAGGCAGGGGCCCTCCTGTGACCCCGCAGCCCCCCGGGCAGCCAGCTCAGTGCCCCCCGTCAGTGCCCAGCTCCCCACCGTGCACTGGCAGCCGCGACCATCCCAAAGGTTCCTCTGCCCCCTTCACCGTGTGCCGACGAGGATCCTTCTCCTCCCACCCTCTCTTGCCCCGACGCTCACTGCCGTGCCAATCTGGCATGGGGTGCGCTGTGGTAGCGCCGAGGTGCCCTACTCATGGATCAGCCCCCCGGGCGCTAGGTGCTGTACAAACACACGTTGGGAGGGTGCTCCTAGTCCCCAGGAGCTCAGCATCTCTGGGTGAGACAAGAGACACCAGGTGGAAACAGGCAGAGTGGAAAGGGTGGGTCAGCCGGATGGCCGGTGGTTGAACAGCTGCCTGGAGCCGGGTTCCCTGCTAGAAATCCCAAATGTTCTCCTCCCTTTTGGAGGGCAGCCGAGGATTTCTCTGGGGGTGGGGAGGGCCAGGGTGGATCTGTGGAGCGCCCTATGCCCGCTCCCCGCTCCGAGTGGGCAGCAGGATTGTCACTGGGGCAGGCAGGGACCCTCCTCTGTGCTCGCTCCACGTGGTGCGCTGGGAATGTGGCTAGCCTGGTGGAGAAGGGCTGCCTGCAGCCTCGCTCCACGAGGCCCGGGGAGCCGAGGACTCCCAGCCTGGCCACAGATCCCTACTCAGCGCTGCGGACAGCCTTGCCCGGCGTGGGGGGCAGCCAGCGGAAGATGGGGCGCTGCACATCCAGTATTCCGGCGCCGAGCCCCTCCCGTGACACAGCTTGGGGATGGCAGCCAGTCGCTGTGTCACAGAAGGGCTGTGCCTGCCACCCCTTGCCAGCTGGGCGCGACCCTGGCATCATCAGTCTCCAGCCCCTGTCCCCACTGGGCACCCGCTCTGCTGGCAGCAGGTGACTCTCCGCACTGGGGCCTGTTCTGACAGGCGAGGGAGGTGAGGGCAAAGGCTGGCAGCAGTGTCCTGCTGGCAAGGAGGAGTTGTTACCGGAGCGAGAGAGCTTCTCCACACGTCATTGACCCCACAGATGCCCCCAGAGGCCAGGCCTGGCCCGTGCAGTGCTGGGCACTGTTGCGGGCGGTGTGTGTCTCTGGCAGCCCCCTGCGCTGTCTGCAAGGGAGCGGATCCCAAATGCTCACCTGTTCTCCCCTTCACAGCAGGGTGATGTTTGGCTCCCTGCTCCTGCATCTGCCCCGGGGTGTGGTCTCTCTCTGAGCACCGGTGGGACCCCAGGGGGTTGGGTTAGCAGCCCTCTGCCAAGGGACTGTGTATCGTAGGTAGGACGCTTGGAGCCGTCACAGCATCGCCTGTTATTACTCGTGTTTATTCCAGTAGTGCCTAAGGACCAGCTGAGCTCAGGCCCCCTGGTGCTGGGCGCTCCACGAACCCAGGGTAGCAGAGGGTCTCTGCTCGAAAGAGTTTAGTCTAAATTGACCAGATGGCTTTGGCGGGTGAGAGCCACTTGCCAGAGCCATCGTGAGCGGCCTGTGGCCATCCACCCTGAATACAGAGGGAGCAGCCTTCAGTTCCCGGCAGGCAGAGCTCTGCCTTGAGCCCGGCCCCTGAGGGCAGCGCCTGGACACTCAGGCTCTGGAGGCCATTTCTGACCCAGAGGCTGCGTGTGGTCACGTGCCAGCCCACCCCGGTTAACATGCTGCCGACGGACGGCTCCCAGGTCGGGCCGCATGGAGTGAGCACCACAGAGACCCTGACTGTGCTCGGCCTGCGAGGCCAGCCGTGTGATCTCAGCCCCGCACCGAGTGCTCCTGTGGCACGGGGGGGGCGAATCGGCAGCGTATGCGGGAGATACGGGCCATGGCCTGGAAACGCCAGCATCTTTCATCTGTTGGCCCGTGGGAAGGCTGCGGCCTTCGATTCGTTCTGGGCAGGAGGAGCGTTTAGTTTCACTCGGTAAGGTCTGCGTGGGCACATCTGGGACGTGGGGGGAGCAGCAGTGGGACCCACAGCTGGGAGTCTGGGTGTGAGTCCAGTCTAGCATCCAGGCGGGGTCTGTGGGAGGAGCAATGTCCCATTGCCAAAGTCGACACTGCTTGCTTTGTCGGAGGGATCTTCAGATGCAGCCTGAGCCCTAGGCAAAAGGCTGCACTGAAGAGTGTAAATGTCTGTTCAGGAGACCGGCCCTTCAGCGAACGCTGCGGCTTCCCAGACGCGCGCTCAGCCTGGCTGGCTGATTAGGGGATTTTTCCTTTGCTTTCCAGGCTCTCTCTCAGCTGGGAGCTCCGTTTTCCTCTCCCACGTTCTCCCTTCGGTAACTCAGGCTTTTAACCACGCCAGCGGCATCTGGGCCTGAGAGCGTGGCTGTGACTGGAGTGTGAGGGGTGGGAGACGGGCTGGATTCGTGGCCCAGACTAGCCCGCGAGCCCAGCGTGCGGACAGGCTAGCGCTGTGATGGAGCAGGGTAGAGAATCCACTCGGGTCCTTCAGGGCCTGGTCTGTTGCACCTGGACGACTGTGGGAGCGTCCCCAGATAACCAGGGACATGCCCCTGGCCGGGCTGTCAGCAGCTTCCAGCCTTCGGGGGTGGGGGGGGTTACACCTCAGGGCAGCTTAGCCCGTCTCCCCAGGCCCCTCCCAGCAGGGAGGTACCAGGATGCCCCTGCCCAGAGCATGGCACCCGCACGTTTGCCCATATTCCCTAGTGCCGCAGAGGATCATCTTGTGCTTGGGTGAGGCGGGGCTTGTGCTGTAGTGGAGCTAACCGGGCTGGCTGGCCGGCCTGCCTGTCTGTCTGTCTGCTCGCTCATTGGCTGAGACTCGAATTCAGCCCCTGCCCTGCCTGGGGGGGGTTAGAGCGGATGGCACCGGCTCAACCCTCCCCTGCCTCTGCTGGCGTTAACCCCTGTGCGCCGTCCCCCCTCTTCCCGGGCAGACTGCAGGCTTGCTGGGCGGGCTCCCTGCCTGGGGGCACGCTGCGGGGGGGGGTTAGCGGAGGAACACTTTGCTGCCAGCTCCTTTACTTGTTTCATTTCCTTCCCCTGATGATGTCTGGTGCCGAAGGCACTTTCCGACCTAGTGGCCAAGCCAATCTCTCCGGCTTCCTGCCGTGTGATGACCTCACTCCATTGCATGTTGGACCCAGCTGGGATCTCTTCCTCTGGGTGAGAGCCGTGTCCTAGGCTGTTGGTCCTTCTCCGCCAGAACCCGCCCGTCCGGGGATGCTTGTCTAATACTCTCCCTGCTGGAGTGAGCTGTGAGGGGAGCGTCCAGTTAGAAAGAGATTCTCTGGCCCCCCAAAGGGGCCCTCCTCCTTGAGCTCCCACTCCTCCCGCACCCTGTAAATAGGGACTCTTTGCTGGAGGCTCCTATTATTGGTACCCAGAAAGTGTCTGCAGCCCCTTCAGCCAGCCGTCCGTGGCCCTCCAAACAGTTTGGCACCAGCTGGGAGCTTGGCACTGGAGCCCAGGACCGCCTGCACCCCACTGTAAGGGCAACCCAGGGTGCAGCTCCTCTTTCCCAGAACGTAGAGACCAAAGAAACTGAGTCATGACTGATCATGGGACGGCAAGTTGCCCCGTTGGTCCTGCCCGGCCCACAGAGGCTCGGGCCCAGATGAACATGTCCGTGATCAGACAGAAAAACGCTGTCTCAGAGTGTTGGGTCACGTGGCACCAAGCACTCTGCTTGCCAGAGGTCACCCCGCTCTCTCTCCAGGGTGGCTGAGCATCTTGTGGACACTCCCCTCCTGGGCCTGACAGCTGTCCGAACCTCCAGGCAGTCTGCAGAGGGAAGCAGGCACTCCTCCGAAGAGGTGTGATTGCAGATGCCCAGAAAGAGTCCTGACCCCCAGGTCAATGGGCTGGAATTCGGCACGATTGCCCTGGCTGCAGAGCATTCCTACAGTGCTGAAAGGAACCACGGTGCAGATGCAGATGGCCACGCTCGGTCAGCCACTGCATGGAATAAATGGCACGGCTCTCCTCCTTCCAGGAGTACATCACAATCTGGGCAGACAGCACTGAGCCGAACGTGTGCGATCACTGAAGGACTCCATTCTCAGACCTGCGTTCGACAGACAGGGCGATAGACCTGCTCACCCCGAACAGGAACAACAGATGCCCCAGAGCACCAGCCCAGGGTCCCTCCAGGAAGCCTGCCCCATGCCCTCTGTGCCTCCCCACCCCAGTAAGGAAGGCGAGGCAGGATGCAGTCGCATTCATAGCCCCTTACTGGGCCAACCAGCATCAGCTAACAGACCCCCTGCGGCTGCGCCCGTCTGTACAGACGCTGACCTGTCGCCAGTCCCTCAGAACTGGGGCAAATCCCTCATCCAGACCCAACGATGGTACAGCGGATGGCGTGGAAGCTGGCTGAGCACTGCAGCCGGGGATGGCTCTAGAGAGCCTGTCACGGAGTCACCGGGCAATGCTCTGGAACTGCTCCATACGAAGCCAGCCAGGACTCTGGGGAAGCCTCCTCTCCCCAGAGCAAAAAGCTTACACAACTTCGGCCTTCCTGGGGTTGACCTCGGGGCATTCAGCATCACTGTCCACACTGTGTGCTTCCCACAGTGAGTCCGCCCAGACGGGGTCCTGGGGAAGCCAGAGGATCCTGCCCCCCAACTTCGCAGTCAGACGTGACTCTCAGCCAGCCAGTAAAACAGAAGGTTTATTAGACGACAGGAACATGGTCTAAAACAGAGCTTGTAGGTGCAGAGAACAGGACCCCTCAGTCAGGTCCATCTTGGGAGTCAGGGAGGCCAGACCCCCATCTGAGCCTCTCGTCATTTCCCCAGCCAGCTCCAAACTGAAACTCTCCAGCCCCTCCTCTGGCCTTTGTCTCTTTCCGGGGCCAGGAGGCCACCTGATCTCTTTGTTCTCCAACACCTTCAGTTGGCACCTTTGTAGAGGAGGGGCCTAGGCCATCAGGAGACAGGGTGTCGGCCATTCTCTGTGCAGACACCATCACACTGGTCTCCTCGGGTTCTGCCACAATCACACACTCTTATCTCACCACCTGGATACTTAAGAACTGCCTAGGGGAAACTGAGGCACCCGCACAGTATTCAGAGAAAACATTAAGAACAGTCCCACTTTGTCACAGAGCCATACAAGACATCCACACACAGGACTGGAGGCCCCCTGCGAGATCAAAGTGGCAAAGATTTTGCATCTGGCCTTGACAGCCTAGTTTCAACCATCAGGACCCCTCCCATCCCCGCCTTCCCAAGATTTCACACACCATCCTTCAACTCCAGCTATCCAGCCTCACCGTGGGGTCTGCTTTGCTGCTGACAACCTCCCACCATCCAGTGCGGTCCCATACAGTGTTCCCCGAGCCCACTGGCTCAGACTCTCTGAAAGGACTGGCCCAGGCTTGGTCCTCAATTTGTGAGCCCTGTTCTCCTTGGGCCTTGTGGAACCTCCCCTCTGAGCCCTTAGCCAAGTGCTCTCTTCACCATCCCACCATCCCGGTGGCTATTGCCTGCACCGGCCGTTAGCTGGGTCCCAGCACACGCTGCCGTCTCGGGGCTAAGGTGGGGCCGAGACCTCACCCAGGAGGTCTTTTCATTGGAACTGAGTGATTGACCTGTAATGGGGTCAAGACTCACCACCGCAGCGCCTCCTGCTGGTCGCTCCAGTAATTAGCTGATTCCAGCCTTGGCGTGCCTTCTGCTGGCTGGTGTCTTGCTCGTTGTCCGTTTATCTGTGTTGTCTCCACCACCGGGACACGCGTTGCTCACTGGACCGCGGTGTCCATGGGCCATGCTCTCTTGTGGCAAGGTGCAGTGCAAGGGGGGGCCCCAGCCCAGGGACCCTTGAGCGGCAGCTGCTGGCTGATTTCCTCCACTCCCCATCGCTGCCTGCCTTCCCTGGGCCACTTCCCTGTTGCCCTAGCACCCACTCGGCCCTTGTTTCGAAGCCTGCAGTCTGGCAGAGTCAGCCAGAGCTCCCACTGCCCTCTACCCTGCCCAGCACTGCTCAGTCCAGGGTGCCGCTCCTTCTCCCAGGAGCTAGCCCTCCTCCCTTGCTGGTCAGGGGGAGACTGCCCTCTCCACACTGCTGCAGCCTTTATATAGTGCTCAGCCTGGCCCTGATTGGCTGCCCATCTGCTCAGCCTGGCCCTGATTGGCTGCCCATCTGCGCAGCCTACTTTAACCCATTTTCTCCTGGAGTGGGGCAGAGGCAGCCAGGGAGGCTGTGGAAACCTGCAGCTAATTAGGGCGAGGCTTGTTAGGAGCCAGACCGGAGACAGCCCAGATCTAAGGAGTGGCCCAGCCGAGCAGAGGGGAGTCTCTCCCTAACAAGCAGGGAGGACAACGGGCTCCCAGGGGTAACACTGGGGACAGAGCAGTGCTGGGCAGGCTCAGGGGGGTGTAGGGAGAGCTGTCACAGAGTCCCCGGGCGATGCTCTGGAACTGCTCCCCAAGAAGCCAGTCAGGACTCTGGGGAAGTCTCCTCTCTGGGAGCAGCCTGTCTTCAGGACACACAGCTCACCCGGCTTCCACCTTCCTGGGTCTGACCTCGGAGCATTCAGCCTCCTCTGCCCCTCCGTGCGCTTCCCCCAGTGAGTCCACCCAGGCGGGGTCCTGGGGAAGCCAGAGGGTCCTGTCCCCCAACTCCACAGTCAGACGGGACTCTCAGCCAGCCAGTAAAACAGAAGGTTTATTAGACGACAGGAACATGGTCTAAAACAGAGCTTGTAGGTGCAGAGAACAGGACCCCTCAGCTGGGTCCATTTTGGGGGGGCAGTGAGCTAGACAACCACGTCTGCCCTTCACTCCATGTCTCCAGCCAGCCCCAAACTGACTCCCCCTCCAGCCCCTCCTCCTCTGGGCTTTGTCCCTTTCTGGGGCCAGGAGGTCACCTGATTCCTTCGTTCTCCAACCCTTTAGCTCTCACCTTGCAGGGGGGAAGCCATCAGTGGCCAGGAAACAGGGTGTCGGCCATTCCTGGTGTCCAGACCCCTGCCCACACCTGCCCTTTAGGGCTCTGCAATGATCATACACCCTTACCCCACCCCCTAGATACTTAAGAATTGCCTAGGGGAAACTGAGGCACCCCCACACTATTCAGAGGAAACATTAAAAACAGTCCCACTTCGTCACAGGAGCTCTGGCCTGTTACCTGCTAGGCTGCAGACCCCTGCCAGAGAGGGCCAAGAAGATGCAAGGGCCAAGGGGAAGTGGCCGAGGGATGATAGGCAGACAAGGAGAGAGAAGGAGGGCAGAGAAGCTGCCACTAGAGGGTCCCTGTGTCAGGACCCAGAGTAGCGGGCGGGCCTGGGTCCCCCCCCCTTGCACTGCACCTGGCCGCGGAGGAGAGTGGCTGATACAGACTGCAACTTGCCCCTGAAGTGAGGGGCTAGACTTTGGGTTGTGGTGGACTCCTGCGGTGGGTGCAAGCCACAGGACTGCCATGACCCCCAGAAGGGGGGTGAGAAAGAAGTAGTGGGCACTGCCGAGTCCTGAAGAGGACACCGCCAAGCCAGGGGAGCAACGCAGGTCCGAAACAGCAGAGTAGAGCAGACAACGGGCAAGACGCCACCCGCAGGGGGCGCGCCGGAGCTGCACTGAGCTAATTCCCGGAGCAACCTGCAGGAGGCGCCCGCGGTGGTGAGTCGGCGCCGTTACACCTCCCCAGAGCAAGCTCCACGCGCCGCGGGGTTTGCAGAGCCCTTGTTAGTCACTCAGGCCAAAGCCGTTCCGGAAATCGCCCCATTTCTTTGCGGCACGGGGGGCGGCTGTGAAAAGCGCCGACGCCCCCTCCCGGAGGCAGCCGAGTGGGTCGCTCTGTGCCGCGCTGTTCGTTACCAGCGCGCAGGGGTCGCCTTCCCCGCAGCCTCAGGGCTCGCGCCGCGAGGGGCCAGGCAGCCTCGAGATCCCTGCGCGGGGCAGGGCAGCCACGCAGCACGCGCCTTTCCCGGGCCCTGCGCGCCGGCTGCGGGGATCAGGGGATCAGGAGGGGACTGCAGGGCGCTCTAGGCTGCTCTGGCTGCATGGCAGTGGTGGGGGAGGGTATGCAGGGCGCTTACATGGCCCCAGTGGACCTCGTGCATGAAGCAAGCGTCCCCCGTGAGCGGGATCCGCATGGACAAGGGCTCACGGGCCCCCAGTGACTGGGAGGCAGGGACCCGTTCAGGGCTGGGCTGGCTGGTTGAGGTGGTGGGTGCTTAGCGGCAGGGCCCGTTCGGCTTGCTAGGGCCGCGCTGGTGGGGCCGGGGGGCCCGTTCGGCTTGGTAGGGCCCCGCTGGGCCGGGTAGGGCCCCGCTGGTGGGGCCGGGTAGGGCCGCGCTACTGGGGCTGGGGGGCCCGTTGGGCCCGGTAGGGCCGCACTGCTGGGGCCGGGGGGCCCCGTTCGGCTTGGTAGGGCCCCGCTGGTGGGGCCGGGTAGGGTAGGGCCGCGCTGCTGGGGCCGGGGGGCCCCGTTCGGCTTGGTAGGGCCCCGCTGGTGGGGCCGGGGGCCCCGTTCGGCTTGGTAGGGCCCCGCTGGTGGGGCCGGGGGCCCCGTTCGGCTTGGTAGGGCCCCGCTGGTGGGGCCGGGGGGCCCGTTGGGCCGGGTAGGGCCCCGCTGGTGGTGCTGGTGGGAGGGCGGCCAGCCAGGCCGTCCTCTCGGCGGTGTTGGGATCTCGGCAGCTGCAGTGCCCAGCAGTGGGGGGAAGGGATGACTCCTTGCTGGCCGGGGGGCGGGCAGGGGGTCCCATCTCACTGGAACACGTTGTAACCTTCTCTCTCTTTCCTGCCCATGCCTCCGCCCGTAGCTTTACGTTTCTGCCATGTAAGTAACCAGCTCCTTTCCTTTCCGTAGTTATTGTAGAGCAATGATTGGGGTGGGGGGCTGAGTCCGGGGGGGCCCTCTCTGGGTCTGGTGCCCAAGCTCCCACAATCCAATTCCCCTGCTAGCGGAGGGCTGTTCCTCACCGGGGGGCTGCAGGGGAAAGGGGGACGCCGTGACCCCCAGCTACAAACACTCCCATCCAGAGAAGGGGCCGAAGCGTCTGCGGGCCCCCGGGGTTGGGCCAGAGCAGGCTCTTCCCCTCTGTCACTGCCGCGCCAGGAGCAGGACGAGCCAGGGGTTTAACGCCTCTGGATGGGCCGAGGACCCCGGGGGAAATGGGGTTCCTGCCTCTGCCTGTTGGGCCACAAGCTGCGCTGGCCCTGCCATGAAATCCCACCCGGCCTGCCCCAGGAATGGGGGAGAACCCCAGCCCCCCACCCATCAGGAGCCCAATGTCCTGGGCTCCCTGCAGAGGGGCCTGTATCCCACCCGAGGAGAGTGCACAGACCCTATTTAGGGGAGAGAGGCTGGTGGGGGGGAGCTGAGCCCTGCCTGGGGGCGGGGGTCAGTGGTTGGAGGGGGCTGCCTGGGCATTGCTGGTCTGGGCAGGAGTCGATGGCCTGTGGGGATGGCGCTCGGCTCTGCCGGGGGTCTGGGGACAGGGTTTGGGGGAGGGGAGGCTAATGGACTGAAAGGCTACTGGGGTCTGTGCACCATAGGGCTCCAGGGCTGGGATCCATGGGGTGCCTGCTCTGTGGGGCAGGCATGTGCCAGTGGGGGAAGAGTCAGACCCGAGGGCTCGGTGGCGGCTGGGGGTGCTGGACAGGACGGCCCTGCCCTGGAGGTGTGCTGTGAGGGACTGGGGCCGCGTGGGTAGTGGGGAGGCAGATTCCTCGGGCCAGGCCTGCCCTGGAGGGGTTGGGGTTCTGAGCCGTTAGCCCCTGTGCAATGGCAGGGCCTGGACAGGGGGGCCAGGTGCGGGGCCCTGACCGGTGGCGGAGGGGCCTGGGCCGAGGGATGTCAGGGCCCTGCAGCTGCGGGTGCGGCTGTACTTGGGGGGCGCCCTGCGTGGTGGGGGCAGCCTGTGCCCGCGGTCTGGGAGTGGGAGTTGGGCGCTGCTGGCGTTCGCAGTAGTTTGTATCAGGTGCGAGCTGAGGCTCCCGCGGCCCGATCTCCTTCGCACGTCCCTGGACCCAGGGGGGCCGTGCACCGGGCACGCTGACTGGCTTTCTCCTCGGCTCGCTGCTGCCGGGGCTGGACGGCCCTGCCGCTGGGCGGGCGGATGCCTCGGCAGAAGCGTGGTCCAGCATGCGCATCTGTTAGAAACAAAAGCACCAGCATCGCCAGCCCCACGGCGGGCAGGCGGGGCACAGAGAGCTTGCGAGGGCAAACCCCAAGAGGGCAATGGGGCCAGCGCCCCATGTTCGAGCCGACAAAGGGAAGGCCAGCTGTCCAATAGCTGAGGAGCGTGATGCTCTGAAGCCAAGCAGGCAGAGGGGAATGACGAGCCAGGACCCCTGGGTTCTTTTCCCAGCTGAGTCCCTGGGTGAGCCCCGTAACGTCAGCAGTGGTTCTGTGAGGGGTGGGATCCTTTCATTCGCACTGGGGGGTCGTTCGGGGAGCTGGCTGGGCTCTGAACTCCTCTGCTGGGTGTCAGGCCAGGCCTTGCTGGCTTTTTGCACCTGGCCTCCCTGTGGGCTGGAGGAGCTGGCAATGTGGCTTAGGACGGCGCTGTTATCCCTCAAGGGAGTGGGGGGGGGGAGGGTCTGTCTCAGTGCTCTCTTCTCCCAGCTGCTGGTCAGAGGTTGGAATGAGGCCTGGGTCTGAGCTGTACATAAATATCACTCCCGCCCCCCAGGCGTGTGGGGGGCCGTTCTCTGACTGCTTCCCCATCTTCTAGGACAGACTAGGCAGGACCCGAACGTGGGACGGGAGGGGCGAGCAGGGCTGTGTGAGATGGGGGAGCACTCGCCTGGGGGAAGGTTACTGCAGGGCTTGGGGGAAACTGGTTGGTTTTACACCATTAGGTGGTCAAAATCTTGCCCCCTCATGATGGTTAGCCAGCTGCCCACCTCTCTGTAGAGCGTGACCCTTGTGGTTCTGGTCCTGGGCGCCCCCCCCCCCAACTTCAACTGGGGATGGGCGTCTCCTTCACTTTCTCCTAAGTGGCTGTGCAGGGTTGCTGTGAGCTGTCAGCCAGCTGCCCTGGCCCACCCCAGAGGTGGCTGCCTATCCATGGTGGATGAAGCGAGTCCTAGGCCAAATTATCTGCTGCTAACTCCACAGAGCCCAGCGGAGCTGCAGCAGCAGAGGGTTTGACCCGCTGCGTTGAGCTCGTGTGCGCCCGTGTCTGGAAAGCGCTTTTGGATCCTTCGTCACATGAGGCCGCTTCGCGTGAGCCTGGCGTGGGGCTGCTCGGCTCTGGGCATTGCCCATGCGAGGCGGCCAGCCCGTCACCACCACGTGCCCTGCGGGTGCCAGCCCCAGGCCAGGCCAGGCCAGGCCGTGAGCGCTCCCTGCTGGGAAGCCAGGGCTCTGCAGGCTTTTGCCATCCCTCAGCGTGGGGCTCAGCCCACCAGCATCAGCCACTCCCTCCTGGGCCAGAGAGGGGGCAGGGGGCAACCAACCAGCGAGGTCTGGTTCAGGGTCCTGGCTGTTCGTCCCAGGCGGGTGCCATGCGGGAGTGCGACAGACAGCTGGGAGGCGGAGGTGCCGCAGCAGGCCCAGCTTCGGGTCAGGGCACCAGCTGGTGTCGGCGTGGCCTGTGGAGGGGCTGGCCTGCCCCCAGAGTCCTGCCAGCAGCTGTTCCCCTCGCCCTCTCAGCCAGGCTGCTCAGCCCCTGCTCCTCCCGGCTCCGGCTCGGGCGTGATGCCAGGCCGGGGCTCCTGAACGTGGGCGAGTTCACTGAGCCCTGCCCGGGGGGCGGGCACTGTCGGCCCCGCACTAACCCTGCCTCCCCCTCTCCCCGCCAGTTACGAGAAGCGGCTATACTGAAGACGGGCTCCGAAGCAGCAGCCAGCGCGTAGCTCCCAACGTCCCAGCCCCGGTCGCCGCCCGCCGCGTGTAGCCCAGCCCTCCGCTCCGACCGCTCCTCACAGGGATGGATTTGCACTACGGCCGAGAGAGAGCGTCCTGGCCCTGACTGGACGGCAGCCAGATCTCCCCCGCGCCTGGTGCAAGGCCCCGGGAACCAGCCCCCCTGGGCCGGGCAGGAGAACAGAGAGCAGGTGCTGGAAAGAGCTGCGGGGGGGGGCGGAGGGGGGAGCGCTGAGCAGGGCCCCCAGCTCCCCCCCACCCCCGCTGCATCGTCCCGGGCAGCTGCGGCCTGGCTGGAGCCCGTGTTCCCCCCACGCCACCTCCCATCCACGCCTCCGGCTCCGCCAGCCCCCGCGGCATGTCCCCCCACCAGTGCTAGTGCTGCTGGGGGCCGCTGGGGGGCTCCAGCACTTCCCTTTCCCCGCAGTGGGGCAGTGACGTGAGACCCAGGGATCTTGCTGGCAGCCCGGGCCTGGCTCTGGCTCTGGCTCTGGCCCAGTCGCCCCTGGGCTTCAAGGGATTTTATAAACTTGTACAGGAGGCTGAGCCTTGCCTATTAACCCTCCGCTGCCCCGGGGCTGTCTTACCCTGCCCCCCAAGGCTGTTTGTTAGCAGGGTCTCTCCAACCTGGACCAAACACCATGGACCAGCCACCTCCCCTCCGGTCCTGGCCAGAAGCTGCCCGGACTTCTCCGTCGTTATCGCTCTCTACAGAGCCCCTGGGACATCATCCCGCTGCACGCCTGGCAGCTGCTGCTGGGGTCCCTGCAGCCTGCCCAGCCCCAGGGTGACCTCCCTCTGGGGCAGCAGCTGCTCTGGGGTTAGGCAGGGTGACCCCCAAAGCTGGAATGGGGCCTGGCCACCCCTCTGCAAGCTGTGCTGTTGGCCTGGCTGCAGCGCCCTCGGCCGTGCAGCCCGGTTCTGCGACACGCTGCAGGCTCTGGGCATCCGTTTCCTCCACTCTGTTTCTGCCAGATGAGTTTAAATCTCCTTTTTCTGTCACTGCAGCTACTGGCAAGTCCCGGCCTCTCCCCCTGCAGCACCGACCCCCCCCCCCCCCCCACTCGTTAGAAGGCTTTAACTTTGCACATTTGGGGTCCAGTGTTTGTAATTGTGTATTGAAGAACAATAATAAAGTAATGCAGCATCAGAGCCTGGCAGGGGCTGGTGTGGTGGAGCACGCTGAGGTAGGCTCCAGCTCAACTCGCTGTGGCAAACCACCAGCTCACTGGAGCAGGGGGTGCAATCCCCCTCCTCCCCCTGGCCCGGCCCTGAGGACTGGGCCTAGGGCATGTGGCTGCAGGGCCAGTGGCAGCTGCACCGTAGAACCACGGCAGGGCAGGGTCCTGTGGCCGGGGGGATTTCAAACTAATTTACAGAGGGAGTTAAAAAAATTATGTTGAAACTAGCCTGAAATGGGGCACAGAGCCCCCATCCAGCCTGCTCCCCCCATCCCTGCTCAGCCTGGCCATTCCCCCAGGCCCTGCAAGGGGCTTTTGCTCTGTGCAGGGACAGGGCAGGTGCAGAGAGGCAGCTGGGCTCCTGGCGGGAGGTGGAGCTGCTGAATTGTGAGCCAGCCAGCCAGCCACCAGCAGCCTGTCCCCCTACAGCCCAGGGCAGAGGTGAAACGAGGGGAGGGGAGGGCTGCACCAGCTGCCCTCCCCCCTCATCAACCCACCTGGGGGAAATGTGCCTCCCCCCTTGCCACAGCCCCATGGAGCTAGAGCAGGCAGGTGTCCATCATGCCTCCCTGGGGCAGAAGACTCAGTGGCTCCCCCTCCCCCGGCCGGGGTGTCCATGGTGCAGCAGTTGTTCCCGTGCTCTGTGCCCGAGGCCTGTGGTCTGGCCTGCCCGGCAGGGCCGGCTGCAGAAGGTGCATGTCCCTGCTTGCGGCTGGATGTTGTGTGACGGCAGGAGCACCCTGCCTGCCAGGGAGGAGCAGGGCTCTGGCTGCAGGAGCAGCTGCATGTCCCTGCTTGCGGCTGGATGTTGTGTGACGGCAGGAGCACCCTGCCTGCCAGGGAGGAGCAGGGCTCTGGCTGCAGGAGCAGCTGCATGTCCCCCTGCCCATGTCAGAGGGGCTCTTGGGCCAACCCAGCCCCAGCTGCTAGAGTCTGGCTTGGAGCAGGGCCGTGTCCAGCTGCTTCAGGAATCCCAGCAGTACCTCCTGGTACTCCTGGGGGTGCTGGTGCAGATGGGCTGCATGGCGCGAGTCCTGCCAGGCCTGGGCCTGCACCAGGATCCCTGCCCGCCTCCAGCTCTCCAGCAGCTCCTGCACCAGGGCAGGGTCGCTCAGGGGGTCGTTGCGGCAGTAGAAGACCAGGACAGGGCAGCGAAGCGGCGGCCGGAAGAACACGCCCTGTGCCGCTTTGTAGTACCGCACGGTGCAGCAGCGCAAGAGGCTGAAGTAAAGCCTGGTGCCTCCCCTGATGAGGGGCCGAAAGGCCGCGGAGCTGCTCATCTGAGCCACGCCTGCACAGGGCGAGAAGGGGGTTAGCGGGCAGGGGAGCCACCAGGCCAGACGCAGACCCTCCCTGGGGGCTGCACCCTGCTGCGGCTTCCGCCCGTTCCCTCAGTCCTCGCATTCCTGAGACTGCTGGGCCGTGACTCCCTGCCTGCTGCTCCCCATGGCCCCGGCTGTTCCTCTGTTAGCCCCGGGGCTAGTGCTGGCTGGCCACATGGGGAAAGGCCCAGCCCCAGCCAAGACCCGGCCCCACCCACACCTCTGCTCTAACCGCAGGGGCTGGGCAACGGCAGCGTCTGCCAGGACTCCCGGCTCTCTCAGATGCCGCCCTCCCAGGGCTGTGTGAGCAGCTCCTCTCCTTGCCAAACCCAGCCTGCATCCTGTGTGGCAGGAGGGGTGGCAGCGGGAGCCTGGGAGGAAAGGACCCAAACTGCAGATGGAGCTGGGGCAGCATCTGCGGAGGGGACAGCCCACCCAGCGCATCGCCCCCCGTCTCAACGGACAGACGCTGAGAACAAACAGGTTAGGCCTGCTCGCCTGTGGCACGCACGGCCAGGGCATGCTGGGAAGGCCAAAGTACAACCGGGTTCAAAAAGGAACAGGTCCAGCAATGGCTATTAGTCAAGATGGATAGGGACACATTCCTGTGCTCTGGATGTCCCTAAACCTCCGACTGCCAGCAGCTGGGCCTGGGTGACGGGATGGATCACTGATAATTGCCCTGTTCCGCTCATTCCCTCCGAGGTACCTGGCACCAGCCCCTGTCAGAGATGGACCATTGGTCTGACCCAGGGTGGCCGTTCTTACGCCCCGCATCCTGCTGCAGATCCTGGTGGTCTCCCGGCTGGACAGGGCTGCAGAACAGCTGAGGCTGGAGGGGACAGTGCAAGATCTGTCCTCTGCCTTGCTCCTCTCCCCAGGGGCTAGTGCCTGGAGAGGGGGTTTGCCCCACAGGACCTGCCCAGACCCCACTCACCCAGCGCCATGTCCCCCAGGCTGCCTGTCACCAGGCTGTCGTAGACCAGGCCCCGGATCCTCTCTGCCAGCTGCTGGTGCCGCTGTGGCTCCCGGCTCATGTGCACCATCATCTGGGCGAAGGTGTAGCCACCGATGGAGAAGGCGTGGACGAGCAGCGGGCGGGAGCAGAAGGGCTGGCTGTCCCGGAGCAGGCCTAGCACGCAGGCCGCGTAGGCCAGCCCGTGCCGGGGCCATAGGAAGTGGCTCAGATCACTCTCCACCACCAGCACGTCCAGGCCGCGTGGCAGGTAAAGCTCCAGGTACCTCGCCATGGAGCGGGGCCGGGCACCAAACCAGGGCAGCAGCACCACCAGGGGCCTGGAGGGGGCGCTGCCCCCAGGCGCAGGGCTGCTGTACAGGCGGATAGTCCTGGAAAAGGCTGTCACCGTTGCTGCCCCGCCAGGGGCAATGGAGAGCTCTGCAGGCTGCCCCGCCCGCGGTGGGGGCAGCTCTGGGCCCCCAGGCTGCACTGGGGGGCAGCCCTGGTGTCTCCAGCCGGCTCCATCTGCATCCAGGCTGCTGTGGCCACGCTGCCTCTGGCGTCCAGGCATGGGAGCCCTGCAAGACACACACGGGCAGGCTGGTGCCGCTGGAACCAGCCTGGGGCATCGCATTGGCAGCAGAGCCATGGCTCCCGCACAATGCCCAGCAGCCGGGAGTACTGTCTCCCCACGGGTGTGGGGAGTTGGGGGAGGTAAACTGAGGCACGGGGAGGGGAATGTCCTACCCCGGGTCACACAGTGAGCCAGTAGCAGAGCAGGGAGTAGAACCTAGGAGTCTTGGGTCTCAGTCCCCACTGCTCTAACTACTACACCCCTCTGCTCCCAGAGCAAGAACCCAGGAGTCCTGCCTCCCAGCCCTGCCCTGGCACGACAAACCCATCCCCATTCGCCAGCTGCAGAAAGTCTTCTTTCCAGGGGGTGGATTTGCAAAAGGGCCTCAGCCCCACTGGACTAGAGCATTCGTCCCTAGCAAAGGGACAAGAGACCCTCATGTGTCTGCCCAACTGGGGCCCCGCTTCTGTGATCAGGCCTGTGGGCTCTGGCCCTGCCCTGCAAACAGCCCTCCAACAAGTCCCTGCAACTGCCAGGCAGGGCCGGATGGTCACACTGCTTTGGCCAGCAGGGCCCCCCACCAGCATGGGCATACACCTGCCTCATTTCGCTTGGGGTGTCAGACCCAGGGGTTAGGACCCAGACCCAGGATCAAAGGGGACTCGGCCCCAGCACTGCCCAGTCCTCAGTGTTAAGCATGAAGCCTGGATTTTTGCATAGCCCCTGACCGGTAGCTGGGTATAGTGCTAGGGCCCGGCTTCTGGCAGGAGGGCTGGGCTCCAAGTTCACCCATTCCCCACGCCATGGGACCACCCAGAATTCATCCCTCAAGCCGAGCTTCAGGCAAACATCCAGCCTGGACTGAAAAATGGCCAGTGATGGACAATCCCCCATGGCCAGTGGCTCCAGTGGTTCCTTCCTCTCACGGCCAAGCATTTGCACCTTGGCTCCAGGCTGAGTCTGGCTAGCGGCCGCTTCCAGCCATCAGATCCAACAGACAGGAGGCCTGGCCGGCAGCCACGGACATGGAAGACGGCCAGTGACCGGCCATCACAGGGACAAAGTGGCCAACCGGGGCATTCGAGCCAAAGACCCTGCAGCGCCGTGCTTTCCCTGCCACCGGGGGGCGCTAGGACCATGGGCAGAGCCACTCACCCAATTCAAACACCTCACGGGAGGCCACGGGTGGAAGCAGGAGACCGGGCTAAAGGGACCTCAGGGCTGCCCAGCCTGGCCACTGCCCTCAGGGAAAGGTGCCCAGTGGGTGTGCGAGGGCATGCACTACCCTGGCAACAAGCTGTGCCACAAACGGCAGCCTGCCAGGGCAGCTTGTCCAGCGTGCACGGCTCCTGCCTTTGTGTGCTCAGCCACCAGGGCCCTGCCAGCCGTTTGCCGTGATGCCCGCAGGGGAGACAATTCCCTGGGGTTCGGGCCCCAAACTCCTGCGTGCTGATCTGGGGAGGGGACCATATTTCACACCCCTCTGCTCTCTGGGTCTTTGTGTGCAGGGCAAACTGGGCTGTCCCTGCTTCTCTGGCATTTTAACCCTCAGTACTTAGCTTGAGCCTCTAGATAGGCCCCACCGCTGCCCCTGCCCTCAGCCCACGCTGGGCACCCACCTGCTGCAAACCGCGCAGGGTTCCCCCCAAGCCTGTGAGCGATGAGGTGGATGACAGCCTGCCAGCCCAGCATGCTTTTCATAGGAAATGGAGTAGTCTGGGATGGCCCAGCCCTGGCTACATAACAGATTACACAAGGCAGGCCTGGCGCCATGCCCGCTCTCAGCCCAGGGCAGGAGGGAGATGCCATGCCACGTGCGACTAGGGAAGGGGCCTCCTGCCTCCCACCCGCTGGCCACCAGTCAAACGAACAGCCTGTTCCCTTGCTCCCTGGGGAGGGCTTAATCTCCCTCATGCTGAGTCCCTCCTGATGCCTGCCCCTCTCTCCCTGGCCTCCCACACACCCACCCGCAGCGCCTGGGCGCCTCAAACCCACCCGCACCAGCCCCACACATGGCCCCCTCCCTCCTGGCACTGATGCAGTGCCGTTAAATCTGAAAGAGCTCTGAAAAAGGTAAAATTATTCACTGAAATCAGTGAAGTGTTAACTCTGGAAGCTAACGATGACAATTTGTTAATATAAAAACAACATGCTCCCCACGGACACCACCGGCTCCGAACAGCCCCCTGGACACTGGGCTTCTACTGGGGAGCCCCTTGTACTTTTGACCCAGCTTCCAGACGGAGGCCAGGCACTGCCCTGCCAGCCGCCTCCCGCCCAATCGAATCCTGCTCCCTGGGTCTTCCCACTGCACTCCCCACCAGCGTACCTGGGAGCCTCCCCTCCTGCACTATGCACCTGTCAGCTGGGCTCGGCCTTCGCCCAGAGGGAGAAGCAGGCAGGTCTCACCTGGGCTGGGGAGGGGGGGATATAGCCCAGGGGCTCTGTGTTCACATGGGAGACGGCAGCTCAGATTGACCTGCCCTGCACTTGGAGAATGGTGCTGTCTGGGCCAGCCCTTAGCTCCTGTTCACCTCCAGCTGGGCCAGATACCCAGGCCCACCCCCCTGGAGACCGGGGTCCCTGGGCACCGCACAGACACTCCTTGCCCCAGCCCCCGCTGACTCCCACCTGGCAGCCGGAGCAGTGAGGACTCCCCGCTTATCTCTCCACCAGGGCCCGAGGGATAATCCCCCCCCATCTTGTCTGGGGGGGCTGCTGCCCCCAGTGAGGGACCCTGCTGCACCCCAGTACCAGGACAGGAGAGGGACAAGGTCTCTTCTGGGGGTACCCCATGTGCCCAGAGCTGCAGGAGCACGGGGCACTGGTAACTGGGGGGCTGGGCTGCAATCTTGTATAATCCTATGAATTAGCCAGTCACGGGCCCTGCTAGTGACCCCCTGCAGCTCCCTGGTCCCCACTAGCCGTGGAGCTGGGACCCCCTCGCCTGGAATTGCCCTGCTCAGCCCCTCCCCTTGCCCTCCCCTTGCCTGCTCCCTCCCCTCCCCCACACGCGCCCCCCACTGCTCCCCACCTCCCCGCTGCTCCCCACCCAGTCCCTTAGCCCCTGGTGCCGGCCCGGTGCCCGCGGGCGCCGCTCACCCTGGCGGTGCCGCGTCCCAGCAAGCTCTGCCCAGCCCGGCCCTGCTCGGCTCCGCACGGGATGCAGCCCCCCGGTCGCCCCGCCTCCCTCCAGCTGGCCCAGCCTGCGCTCCCGGCCCCGCCCCCGCGGCACAGGCCCCGCCCCCTCTGGGACCGTCTACAAATCACCAGCTAGCTGGAGGGGGCGATAAGGGGGAGCATGAAGTGCCAGGGAACTGTCCCCCCACGAGGCAGTTCCGTGCCGCGGGGCAGCTGCCGTCCCCCCCGCACGGGGGCAGATCCACCCCAGCCGAGCAGAAGGGAGCGGGCAGGGGAGTCAGTGCGCCCTGGGGGGGATCGGGATCGGGATCGGGATCGGGACCGGCTGCTGTCGCGAGGGGTGGGGGCAGGTCGGTGCAGCCTGCGCCTATCGCGGCGGCTCCTTGCAGCGCTGGTTAGGGGGGCAGCCCCAGCCCAAGAAAGGCCCTGGCCAGGCGGAGGAGAAAGTCTGGGAGCAGGGGCCCGGGGCACCCGGCAGACTCCAGGCTGCGGCTGGTGGTGGGGAAGCCCCGCGGCTCCGTCCCTAGCGGGGCTCTTGGGGGACCCCAGAGCCTTGGCCCAGCCGCTGCCCAGCGCAGACAGCTACAGAAACCCGCACTGAGCGCCAGGCCGGGGCTTGGCCCTGCAGTGCCAGGCAGGGCTGGCAGCAGGAATGGGCAGCCGGGGTGGGGGGAGCCGCTGCATAGGGCTTTGCAGAAGCGGCTCAAGACAATCTGCCTCTGTAGGCAGCGGATCAGTGCACAGCCCCCCTCTGCCCCCATTACAAGCTGCAGAGTGTAGCTTTAATTGAAGAGAGAGGAAATGACCATAAAACGCCTACCAGGGGCCTGACACAATAGTGTCTAGGGATGCAAAGATTTCTACAGGTTGCATCAAGTTAAAATCAAAATGCTCTAAAGCACCTCAGGGCTTTCAAGAACATCAGCTGGCTCATAGCAGCCTAGACTCATAGAAGATTAGGGTTGGAAGATCCCCCAGGAGGGGTAGCTCAGTGGTTTGAGCATTGGCCTGCTAAACCCAGGGTTGTGAATTCAATTCTTAAGGGGGCCATTTGGGCTCTGGCCTGAAAATTGGGGATTGGTCCTGCTTTGAACAGGGGGTTGGACTAGATGACCTCCTGAGGTCCCTTCTAGCCCTGATAGTCTATGGTTTTAGGATCTAGTCCAACCCCGTGCTCAAAGCAGGACCAATCCCCAACTCAATTATCCCAGCCATGGCTTTGTCAAGCCTGACCTTAAAAACCACAAAGGAAGGAGATTCCACCACCTCCCTAGGGAACCCATTCCAGTGTTTCACCACCCTCCTAGGGAAAAAGTTTTTCCTAATATCCAACCTAGACCTCCCCCACTGCAACTTGAGACCATTACTCCTCGTTCTGTCATGTACCACCACTGAGAACAGTCTAGAGCCATCCTCTTTGGAACCCCCTTTCAGGTAGCTGAAAGCTGTGATCGGATCTTCTGCAGACTAAATAACCCCAGACTGAATAGCCTCAGCCTCTCCTTGTAAGTCATGTGCTCCAGTGCCCTGATCATTTTCGCCCTCTGCTGGACTCTCTCCAGTTTGTCCACATCCCTTCTGTATTGGGGGGCCCAAAACTGGACGCAGTACTCCAGATGAGGCCTCACCAGTGCGGAATAGAGGGGACTAATCACGTCCCTCCATCTGCTGGCAACGCTCCTACTAATGCAGCCCAATCTGCCGTTGGCCTTCTTGGAGCTTGGCTACACTTGCGGGTTACAGCGCATTAAAGCAGCCCCAGGCGCTCTAGCTCTCTCCCCGTCCACACTGGCAAGGTACGTAGAGCGCTCTGGCTCCGCGGCTACAGAGCTCCCGGTGCTCCGCCTCGGCGAGGGGAATAACGTTTGCTGCACCCCCGCGGGAGCGCCGCGGCACCAGTGTGGACGCCCTGGTCTGTTAGTGCGCTCGGATCGGCCTCCAGACGTGTCCCACAATGCCTGTGCTAGCCACTCTGGTCATCACTCTGAACTCTACTGCCCTGCCCTCAGGTGAGCACCCGTCACACCCGCCCTTTAAATTCTCTGGGAATTTTGAAAATCCCCTTCCTGTTTGCTCAGCCAGGCGTGGAGTGCTCTCAGCGAATCTTCCCAGGTGACCATGCCTCCACGCGCCAGGCGATCCCCAGTATGGAGCAATGGCAAGGTGCTGGACCTCGTCAGTGTTTGGGGGAGGAAGCTGTCCAGTCCCAGCTGCGCTCCAGCTGTAGGATTTACGATGTCTTCGGGCAGATATCAAGGGCCATGCTGGAAAAGGGCCATGACTGGGACGCACTGCAGTGCAGGGTTAAAGTGAAGGAGCTGCGGGATGCCTACTGCAAAGCCCACGAGGCAAACAGCTGCTCCGGTGCTGCCCCCACGACCTGCCCTTTCTACAAAGGGCTGGACGCGATACTTGGGGGTGACCCCACCTAAACTCTGAGTACCACCATGGACACTTCAGAGCCCAGTCCAACAAGGGAGGAGGAGGAAGAGGAAAGCGGGAGCGAGGGTGCTGAGGCGGAAGAAGACACCCCAGGATCCCAAGGTGCATGCAGCCAGGAGCTGTTCTAAGCCCGGAGGAAGATAGCCAGTCGCAGCGGCCGGTGCTTGGGGAAGGACAAACACCAGAGGAGGTTCCCGGTGAGCGGCTTTTATTTTGGGAAGGAAATTATTCGGTGCGGGCTCTTGGGGCGAGGAGGGTTAGGGCTGCATGCATGCCTAGATGCGGAATAGGGCATTGATGTGCTCTCTCGCATCGCGGTAATCGGCCTCAGTGATCTCTTCAAAAGTCTCAGCCAGAACTCTGGCAATGCGCTTGCACAGGTGTTTTGGGAGAGCCACTGTGGTCCTTGTCCCAGTCAGGCTAACATGTCCACGCCACTGTGCCATGAGGGGCGGGGGGACCATTGCTGCACACAGGCAAGCTGCATATGGGCCAGGGCGGAAGCCGCCTTGCAGTAGAAGACCCTCCCTTGCTTCCCAGGTCAGCCTCCACAGCGAGATCTCTTCCAGGACGAACTCCTGTGGAAAATGTGGGGACAGTGTTCAGTATAGGGGCCCCCTGAAGCTGTTGTCTCCCCCTAAAGCACAGAAACCCAGAGGACAGTGCAGCCATGAAACAATCACTCACGCTTGACCCTGGGCTTACTCACCATTTTGGGGCTCCTGTGGGTTATGTGCGCTCACTTTGGGACTGGCAAATTATGCTATTGTGTACGGAGGAATCATTGCTCTGTCTGATGTGAACAATGCTGCCTCTGGTAAGTGTTGCTGTCACGGAGTTCCTGGGCGATGCTCTGGAACTGCTCCCCATGAAGTCAGTCAGGACTCTGGGGTAGTCGCCTTTCTGTGAGCAGCCTGTCTTCAGGACACACAGCTCACACAGCTTCCACCTTCCTGGGTCTGACCTCGGAGCATTCAGCATCCTCTGCCTCTCCGTGCGCTTCCCACAGCGAGTCCGCTCAGGCGGTGCTCCTGGGGAAGCCAGAGGGTCCTGCACCCCAACTTCGCAGTCAGACGTGACTCTCAGCCAGCCAGTAAAACAGAAGGTTTATTAGACGACAGGAACATGGTCTAAAACAGAGCTTGCAGGTGCAGAGAACGGGACCCCTCAGCTGGGTCCATTCTGGGGGGCAGTGAGCCAGACAACCACGTCTGCACTTCACTCCATGTCCCAGCCAGCCCCAAACTGAAAAACCCCTCCAGCCCCTCCTCCTCTGGGCTTTGTTCCTTTCCCGGGCCAGGAGGTCACCTGATTCCTTTGTTCTCCAACCCTTCAGCTCTCACCTTGCAGGGGGGGAAGGGCCCAGGCCATCAGTTGCCAGGAAACAGGGTGTCGGCCATTCTCTGTGTCCAGACTCCTGCACACACATGCCCTCTAGGGCACTGCAATGATCATACACCCTTACCCCACCACCTAGATACTTAAGAACTGCCTAGGGGAAACTGAGGCACCCCCACACTATTCAGAGGAAACATTAAGAACAGTCCCACTTCGTCACAGTTGCATTTTGCCTTTACAGATGCAACCTTGAGATCTCAGCCGCCCGTGTTATCACCGGCCGAGAGACTGCAAAGCATCAGGAAGAGGCCACGTAGAAGCAAAGAGGACATGTTGCATGAAGTCATGCAGCATTCAACTAATGAAAATTAAAAAGCGCAGGAGTGGCGGGAGAGTAAAGGGAGGCTCCGCCAGCAGAATGCGGATCGCCGGCACCAAAGCACGGAGCGGCTGATAAGCATCATGGAGCACCAAGTGGATTCGATCCAGGCACTTGTAGCCATGCAGGCCGCCTCCCCCTGCAGCCCTTGTCCCAAAACTCTTTCCCTTGTGCCACCAAGTCACCTCCAAACCACTTTCCCCAACATCCGGGTTCTTACCACCACCCACTGCCTCCAACACCTTCACCACCCAGCCCTGAAAACTACGACCCTGACCCTCTGCACTCAAGCCCCATCGCCGTGCAATGTAGCCATCCCGAAGTGCAGCACGCACTGCACAGCACTGCAGACAGGACATACGCAAATCTGTGATTGGACCTTCCCCCCCCACCCTCCCCCACCCCTTGCCCTTTGTGTTTCCCAAGCAGTTGTGTTGTGTTTCTTTTCAATAAATTGATTTTTTTTGGCTTTGAAAACATTCTTTATTATTGCATAACATACAAGAAACCTTAGCCCAGGAAAGCAATAGACACTGCAGGTCAGTGTATCATATGTAGCAAACACAGATTCCTACTGCACTTCACTCCCGTGCAAGGCACCACACCAGACATTACTGGTGGCTTTCAGCCTCAAATTGCTCCCTCAAGGCATCCCTAATCCTTGCAGCCCCACGCTGGGCCCCTCTAATAGCCCTGCTCTCTGGCCATTCAAATTCAGCCTCCAGGTGTGGAACCTCCGAGTTCCATGCCTGAGTGAATTGTTCACCCTTCCCTTCACAAATGTTACGGAGGGTACAGCACGCAGATATAACCGCGGGGATGCTGTCATCGGCCAGGTCCAGCTTCCCATACAGAGAGCGCCAGCGACCCTTTAAACGGCCAAAAGCACATTCCACAGTCATTCTGCATTGGCTCAGCCTGTTGGTGAACTGCTCCTTGCTGCTGTCAAGGCTCCCTGTGTAGAGCTTCATGAGCCACGGCATCAAAGGGTAAGTGGGGTCTCCAAGGATCACAATGGACATTTCGACTTCCCCTATGGTGATCTTCTGGTCTGGGAAAAAAGTCCCGGCTTGCAGCTTCCTGAACAGGCCAGTGTTCCAAAAGATGCGTGCGTCATGCACCTTTCCGGGCCAGCCTGCTTTAATGTCAATGAAGTGCCCACAGTGATCCACAAGCGCTTGGAGAACCATAGAGAAATACCCCTTCCTATTAACATACTCAAGGGCTAGGTGGGCTGGTGCCAGGATTGGAATATGCGTCCCATCTATCACCCCTCCACAGTTAGGGAAACCCATTTGTGCAAAGCCAGCCACAATGTTATGCACGGTACCCGGAGTCATGGTTCTTCTGAGCAGGATGCGATTAATGGCCCTGCCAACTTGGATCAACGCGATTCCAACGGTCAACTTTCTCACTCCACACTGATTAGCGACCCATCAGTAGCTGTCTGGAGTTGCCAGCTTCCGGACTGCAATAGCCGCCCACTTCTCCACCGTCAGTTGTCACGGAGTCCCTGGGCGATGCTCTGGAACTGCTCCTCATGAAGCCAGTCAGGACTCTGGGAAAGTCTCCTTTCTGTGAGCAGCCTGTCTGCAGGACACACAGCTCACCCGGCTTCCACCTTCCTGGGTCTGACCTCAAAGCATTCAGCATCCTCTGCCCCTCTGTGCACTTCCCCCAGCGAGTCCGCCCAGGCGGGCTTCTGGGGAAGCCAGAGGGTCCTGCCCCCCAACTTTGCAGTCAGACGGGACTCTCTGCTAGCCAGGAAAACAGAAGGTTTATTAGACGACAGGAACATGGTCTAACACAGAGCTTGTAAGTGCAGAGAACAGGACCCTTCAGCTGGGTCCATTTTGGGGGGCAGTGAGCCAGATAACCCCGTCTGCCCTTCACTCCATGTCCCAGCCAGCCCCAAACTGAAACTGCCTCCAGCCCCTCCTCCCGTGGGTTTTGTCCCTTTCCAGGGCCAGGAGGTCACCGGATCCCTTTGTTCTCCAACCCTTTAGCTCTCACCTTGCAGGGGGGAAGGGCCCAGGCCATCAGGTGCCAGGAAACAGGGTGTCGGCCATTCTCTGTGTCCAGATCCCTGCACACACCTGCCCCCTAAGGCTCTGCAAGGATCATACACCCTTACCGCACCCCCTAGATACTTAAGAACTGCCTAGGGGAAACTGAGGCACCCCCACACTATTGAGAGAAAACATTAAGAACAGTCCCACTTTGTCACAGGGCAGTTCTCAATCTTGTGTCTTTGCACCGCAGGGTGGGGGCGAGCTCCTCACACAGTCCCATGAAAGTGGCTTTTCTCATCCAAAAGTTCTGCAACCACTGCTCGTCATCCCAGATGTGCCTGACGATGTGATCCCACCACTCAGGGCTTGTTTCCCGAGCCCACAAGCGGCGTTCCACGGTGGTGAGCATGTCCGTGAATGCCACAAGCATTCTCATGTAAGTTGCGTTACTCGAGTGATATCATTGGAGCCCTCACTGTCACTTTGGCTCTTAAGGAGTGTGACCACAGCAGGGAGCGGGGAGTGTTGACCTGAGAATGTGGCAGGGGAGTTTCACTGGGGATGGGAGACCTGAGAGCCTGTCACCTGAGCCGGGAGGGGGAGGTAACACCTCTGCTGGAGAAACTGGACAAAGGCTGCAGGAGAGAGCCTGCTGGGGGGGGGGGGGGGGTTGGTTTCAGTTTTGGGCTGGGTGGTGGGACACAGGGAACCCCAGGGCTGGGGTCTAAGCTCTCTGCCCCCCAGAAGGACTTGACTGAGGGGTCCTGGTTGTACCCACAACCTCTGTTTTGGACTGTGTTCCTATCACCCCTTCTGTTTTACTTGCTGGCTGAGAGTCACAGTGAATCCCAGGAAGAGGGGTGCAGGGCCTGGACTCCCCCACACTTCCGTGGCAACTGGTGGCAGTGGTGGGATGTACTGCACCCCGTGAACGGCGCTTCCTGCAGTAAGTGACTGGGGAGCAGTAAAACAAAGGGGGATTGACGGGGACCAGGTGTGCTGAAGAGTCAGAGAGAGATGGTTTCAGGGGGCGGTTAACCCCTGGGAGTGTGTGACCAGAGAGAAGGACTTTTGCAGTAAGAGGGTCCTCCGGGGGATCGCAGCGAGCGGTCCCAGGGGCGGAGGAGTCTGCAGCTCGACCCTGGCAAAGAGTCGGTGACCTCAAGAAGGACTGGCACACAAGGGGCTTTTCCTGGAAACCGTGGAAAGCTGCCCAGCCTGCGAGTGGCCAGCAGGGAGATGTACGCTAAACGCCTTAAGAGCGACCTGGTGGAGCTGTGCAGGCAGAGGGGGCTGTGCATTGGGAGGTCCACCAAGGAACAGCTGATTGCCCAGATGGAGGAGAGGGATCGCTTGGATGACCCGATCCCTGTCCCTGAGGGAAGCCGCCCGGCAGACGCAGCGTGGGCCCTGGGTCCTGACCAGGCTGGGAGGGGTCAGACTGCTGCCGAGGACATCCCGAGACCCTTCCTACCTAGGCCTGGGGGAGGGGTTGGGGGAAGCCCGGCGAATACCGAGGGCACCCTGACCCCGGCAGCCAGCAGGGGATCCTCCCGGCGGAGCTCCCCATCCCTGGAGCAGAGGCGGCTGGAATGGGAGAGGGAGATGAAAATGAGGGAGCTGGAGGATCATGAAAAACAACGTCAACATGAGGATAAACAACGTCAACATGAGCAGGAGGAGAAGGAGAGGGAACGTCAGGAGAAGGAGAAACAAAGACAGCATGAACTGGAGCTGGCCAGGCTGAGGAACAGTGGGGCCCCGGCTGCGGTGAGTGCGGGGGGACCCAAGACTGCAAGGAGCTTTGATAAGTGCTTCCTGGCCCAGCGGAAGGAGGGGGAGGACATAGATGCTTCCTGATGGCCTTTGAGAATGCCTGTGAGCTGCACAGGGTTGACCCCGCAGACAGGCTCCAGTTCCTCACCCCCTTACTGGACCCCAAAGCCGTGGAGGTGTACAGCCGGATAACAGGGCCGGAGGCAGGGGACTGTGAACTGTTCAAACAGGCCCTGCTCCGTGAGTTTGGGCTGACCCCCGAGATGTACCAGAGAAGGTTCCGGAGTCAGCGTAAAACGCCTGAGGTCACCTACCTACAACTGGCCAACCGGATGCAGGGGTATGCCCGCAAGTGGACAGCGGGGGCCCGAGCTAAAGAGGACCTGCTTGACCTAATTGTACTGGAGCAGCTGTATGAACAGTGCCCTTCCGACCTGAGGCTGTGGTTGGTGGACAAAAAGCTCGAGAACCCCCAGCACGCAGGGCAGCTGGCCGACGAGTTTGTGAACAGTCGGTCAGGGGGTAGCAGGGAGGAGTCCCAAAAGAACAGGCCCCCCCCGATGCAGAGAGAGAGTCACCAGGGGGCCTCCCAGCGGGGAAATAGGGAGAACCCCCTCCAAAGGGGAACGCCTGGCGTCGGGCCCCTCCGACCCACTCGAGGGGACCAACGTGACCTGAGCTGCTATCACTGTGGTCAGAGAGGCCACGTACGGACCCAGAGCCCTGGCTCAGGGACAGACTGAACAGACCCAACCTACCCAGGGTTAACTGGGTAGGGACCCAGCTGGACGAGGGGCAGACGACCCAGGCAAGGGGGGCTGCCAGTTTACCACCTGCTCAGGAGGGAAGAGTACCCCAGGCCAGCTCCGCCAGAGGGCTGGAGGCTCTGGACTCAGGGTGCTCAGTTTACAGGGTGGGCGCGGGGCTGTCCCTCCGGAGAGAGTGCCTTGTTCCCCTGGAGGTGGATGGGAGGAAGGTCAATGGATACTGGGATACGGGCGCGGAGGTGACGCTGGCCGGGCCCGAGGTGGTGGCCCCAGATCGGGTGGTGCCCAACACCTACCTGACCCTGACGGGGGGTGGGCGGGACCCCATTTCAGGTGCCTGTGGCAAGGGTACACCTGAAATGGGGGGCCAAGGAGGGCCCCAAGGATGTGGGGGTGCGCCACCATTTGCCCACTGAAGTTTTGATGGGGGGAGACCTAGAGGACTGGCCAAGCAACCCCCAGACCGCCCTGGTTATGACCCGTAGCCAGAGCCGGCGAGGGGCACTGCACCCTGAACTCGGAGAGGGTACCACACCGGAGGCGCAGGACCCTACCCTGGTGGGGAGGGAGCGCCGAGGGGCACGTCTCAGAGAGGTGGAGGCCTCAGACCTGGCCACTGAGGGGGAACCGGTCCCCATCCCTTCCCCAGCCGCTGAGTTCCAGGCCGAGTTGAGGAAAGATCCCTCCTTGCGGAAGCTCAGGGACCTGGCCGACCTCAGGGTGGTACGGACCATGAGGAGAGGCTGCCAGGAGAGGTTCCTGTGGGAGAAGGGGTTCCTATACCGAGAATGGGCTCCCACAAGGGAAGTGGAGTCCTGTGGGATCAGGAGGCAGCTGGTGGTCCCCCAGAAGTATCGCCGCAAGCTCCTGTACCTGGCCCATGACATCCCCCCGCAGGGCACCAGGGAATCCGGCGCACCCGGCAGAGGTTGCTACAGAACTTTTACTGGCCCGGGGTCTTTACCACGGTCCGGCAGTATTGCCGATCCTGTGACCCCTGTCAGAGGGTGGGGAAGGCCCGGGACAAGGGGAAAGCGGCTTTGAGACCTTTGCCCATCATAGAGGAGCCTTTCCAGAAGGTGGCCATGGACATCGTGGGGCCTCTCAGTTGTCACGGAGTCCCTGGGCGATGCTCTGGAACTGCTCCCCATGAAGTCAGTCAGGACTCTGGGGTAGTCGCCTTTCTGTGAGCAGCCTGTCTTCAGGACACACAGCTCACCCGGCTTCCACCTTCCTGGGTCTGACCTCGGAGCATTCAGCATCCTCTGCCTCTCCGTGTGCTTCCCCCAGCGAGTCCGCTCAGGCGGGGCTCCTGGGGAAGCCAGAGGGTCCTGCACCCCAACTTCGCAGTCAGACGTGACTCTCAGCCAGCCAGTAAAACAGAAGGTTTATTAGACGACAGGAACATGGTCTAAAACAGAGCTTGCAGGTGCAGAGAACGGGACCCCTCAGCTGGGTCCATTTTGGGGGCAGTGAGCCAGACAACCACGTCTGCACTTCACTCCATGTCCCAGCCAGCCCCAAACTGAAAACCCCCTCCAGCCCCTCCTCCTCTGGGCTTTGTTCCTTTCCCGGGCCAGGTGGTCACCTGATTCCTTTGTTCTCCAACCCTTCAGCTCTCACCTTGCAGGGGGGGAAGGGCCCAGGCCATCAGTTGCCAGGAAACAGGGTGTCGGCCATTCTCTGTGTCCAGACCCCTGCACACACCTGCCCTCTAGGGCTCTGCAATGATCATACATGCTTACCCCACCCCCTAGATACTTAAGAACTGCCTAGGGGAAACTGAGGCACCCCCACACTATTCAGAGGAAACATTAAGAACAGTCCCACTTCGTCACATCTCTCCCCCCTTCGAGATCGAACTGAGCGGGGTCACTTTAGCCGGTGACCTGGGGAAGTTCGAAGCCACCAACGTTCCCATGGATGCCCCAGCATCTCTCCCATTCCTTGGTAGGAGTTACACCAGGCCCTTCCATTTTCACACCCTCCCTTAGGTCAGGGGTGGTCGATAGCACTCGCAGGCCGCATGTGGGAAGGTTTATGCAGCCCATGCCCTTTGGCCACCCCAAGAATGTCTCCCCATTGACCATCACCTTCTGCTCCCACTGGAGGTCCGAGGGGCCTGGCCCCAGGAAACTCCACACAGACATATAGGTTGGGGTCAGGAGTGGGAGCCTGTCCACATCCCCAACCATCTGGCTGACGGAGTCTGTGGCCTTGGGACCCAGCAAGGGAGCTAGACACCGGGGCTTTTCCGCAGGGTCCCCCTGGTTCAAATCGTCAGCCTGCTCAAAGGCAGTGGGGTGGCATCCACACCCCCCCCTCGTTAACCAGGGGCAGCAATTTAGTCTCGAGGTTCCCTGCGGAACTGGCCCCCCCGGGATCTATCCCCACTCACCCCGGGGAGGTCCCCTAGGCCTCTCCGCCCCACCACCGCCAGTTCATGCTGCTGCTGCTTCTGCAGCTCTTTCTCGGGCTCTCGCTGTCTCCCACGGTCCTCTTGCTCTCTCAGACTCAGCTCCAATCCC